AGGCTCCATGCAGGGAGCCCAATGCAGGACTCGATTCTGGGACTCCAGATCACACCCTGGGCTGAAGGCAGGTGCTAAACTGCTGAGCCACCCAGGCAACCCTAGGCAATAATATTTGTAATTTCCCAAACTATTTCTTGTTCTCCAATTACCATGTCTTCCTAGAAACCTCTATTGTTTCATGCTGCATTATCTCATTTATTTGTTTCCTCCAGGGCTGTTTGTTTTGTCTCTTCATCCTAATCCTTTTGGTTCTACTGGAAGTGAGTCAAAGGAGATCCACGTAGTTCACCAGCAGGCATATACCTGGACAGGCTGCGAGTTCTGTGGGCAGGTGTATTAATTTTTTTTTTAAATTTATTTATGATAGTCACAGAGAGAGAGAAAGAGAGAGAGAGAGGCAGAGACACAGGCAGAGGGAGAAGCAGGCTCCATGCACCGGAAGCCCGACATGGGATTCGATCCCGGGTCTCCAGGATCACGCCCTGGGCCAAAGGCAGGCGCCAAACCGCTGCGCCACCCAGGGATCCCGGGCAGGTGTATTAATTGATGAAAATGTTTCGCTTCAATCCTCTCCCCAGGTGCCATTTGGCAATGTCTGGAGACATTTTTGGTTGTGATATCTCGGGGGATGCTACTGTCATCTAGTGGTTACAGACCAGAGATGCTGCTAAATATCCTACATCATACAGGAAAGTCTCCCACCACAAAGAGGTATCTGGGCCAAATGTCAATTGTGTGGAGGTGGAGAAAACCCTGATTTAAGACAATCTGAGAGCAGCCTGCCACACCTCACACCACCAAAGGTCAAGACAAGAAGGGACTCTCCACATCCACTTCAGGAGACTTCCCAGGCATTTATTCAAGTTTGTTTAAAGGAGATCTCCAGGGGCACTCAGCTGGCTCAGTTGCTGGAGCATATGACTCTTGATCTTGGGGTTTTGAGTTCGAGCACCATGTTGGATATAGAGATTATTAAAAATAAAATCTTTAGGGATGCCTGGGTGGCTTAGTGGTTGAGCATCAGTCTTTGGCTCAGGCTGAGATCCTGGGGTCTTGGTATTGAGTCCCACATCGGGCTCCCTGCATGGAGCCTGTTTCAGCCTCTGCCTATGTCTCTGCCTCTCTCTGTGTGTCTCTCATGAATAAATAAATAAAATCTTAAAAAAATAAAAATATTTAAAAAGGAAGAGGGGCGCCTGGGTGATTCAGTCAATTGAGTGAGCATCTGACTCTTGATCTTGGCTCAGGTCTTGATCTCAGGGTTATGAGTTCAAGCCCTCTGTTGGATTCCAGGCTGGGTGTAGAGTCTACTTAAAAAAAAAAAGAGAGAGAGAGAGAGAGAGCGCGATCTTCAACTGATGGCTCATGAACCACAAGTGGCCTACAGCTTTGGTTCATTTGGCTTTTATTAAAATACTTACATATATATAAAGTGGTCAACATTTTGGTTGATTTTACCTAAAAAAAAAAAAACAGATTTCTAGTTTCTGCTAGAAAATCAGGACAGACGTGATTAATAGAGCTGAGTGGCTGCTGTCCCTACAGATGGGCATGTGTCCCTTCCCACCTCTGTCCCTTGGTCCATTTGGCCACCTATATCTCCTGCTTGGCCTCTTTACTCATGCAAATTCATGACCCCTGTATTTTCTTTTTTCCTGGTTTTATCCTGGGGACAAATGTTGTCTCTGTACCCAAGGACAGCTGTGGAGTGATTCTGAGATAATCTTCTAGTTAGTCAATTTGTTTCTTTCCCATTGTTACTATTACTTTGGAATAATGGCAGAGCATATAAATAGGAGGATCATATCTGCCACCGTTGGTGGTGGGAACTTGGGGATTTTCAGGTACGAGACATCAGGTGAGGCCATGGGCATGAGTGAGATTGCTCAGGAGAAGCGTGGCAGGCGAGAACAAAAGCTGTCCAGGATGGACTGCTGAAGAAGGCAGACAAGAAAGAAGTCAGAGAGGATGGCCAGAGGGAGGGAAGGGATATCAGGTGTGTGTGGAATCACAGAAGCCAAGCAAAGAGAACATGTGAAGAAAAGAATCAAGGGATACCTGGGTGGCTCAGCAGTTGAGCATCTGCCTTTGGCTCAGGTCGTGATCCTGGAGTTCTGGGATCGAGTCCCACATCTGGCTCCCACGGGGAGCCCACTTCTCCCTCTGCCTATGTCTGCCTCTCTTTCTCTGTGTCTCTCATGAATAAATAAATTAAAAATCTTAAGAAAAAAAGAGAAAAAAATGTAGCCTACAGAGGTATCCTTTAAGTAAAATATGCAGGTCATGATTTTGGTGAAAGCAGTTTCTAAAAAAAAAGAAAGAAAGAAAGAAAAGAAAGCAGTTTCTTCTGGAGTGCTGGAGGCATGCCAAAGCCTACAGCAGGTTTCAGCTGCTGGGGAGAGGAGGAAACCTAGACTGTTAAGACAGACAGCTCTTTCCAGAAGTTTGGCAGTGAAGGAGGTGCGAGGTCATGCGTGGTGAAGGATGGAGAATTGGTTGTCGGTTGGCTGGTTTTTTTAAGGTGGAAGAGATTTGATCTTGTTTATAGAGGAAATAGTCTGGGTTTTGTGATGTCGTGAACAATGTAACCTAAGGAGCACATCCCCACCATAAAACAGGTAGAGATTAGGCATAAAATCAAGTAAACATCCCTCAAAATGCACAGCTGGGTTTCAAGATAGTAAGGGGAATCCCCACACACAAGGAGGAAATTGAAAACCAGAGCTCTGAGGCCGTAGATCTTGGCAACACAGGGGCTTTGGGCTTTACCTTCACTTAGAGATTGGAGATGAGGTCTTGCAGGGCCACTGAAAATGGAGACCCAGGAACCCTGGGTGGCGCAGCGGTTTAGCGCCTGCCTTTGGCCCAGGGCGCGATCCTGGAGACCCAGGATCGAGTCCCACGTCGGGCTCCCGGTGCATGGAGCCTGCTTCTCCCTCTGCCTGTGTCTCTGCCTCTCTCTCTCTCTCTCTGTGACTATCATAAATAAATAAAAATTAAAAAAAAAAAAAGAAAACGGAGACCCTAATATAAAGCTCAACCCCTTAAAGGGGGACCCTTAGTGAAGGAGTAGACTAGAAAAAACGATCTTTCCATCGGCTCAGAGAGCACAAAAGAACCTTGCCTGCCTCGCCCTGAGATCTGATGGCAATAGAAAAGTCCTGAGAATTCATTGCGGAAGGCTTGCCCTCACTTGGATTTGGGTTCCAAGTTTACACCATCTGGATGGTCATGGAAGCCCAGATAAAATGAGCAAATAACATGGTTCAGGGTTCGTAATACCCTTGAAGCATCCTTGACAGGAGCAAACCAGAATCTCTCTAGAAAGACAACATCAAACTTAGTCACATGGTGCCCCCGCTGACTCTGAGTTCACAGCCCTGAATTAGAAACTTAAAAGGAAACCATCTGTCATGGACGAAAGTAAGCACCCCAGAACTCCAGACAAAAGAATCATGGAGCAAAAGACCCCACAGTAAGTATATTTTAAGCACCTGAAGAATTAAAAGAAGGACTCAGCATGAGAAAGTAATCAGAGGGTGTTAAAAAGGAGAGGCAGAGGTTTAAAACAAAGAGAAAGGAAAAGGATAAAACTAATGCCACTGTTAATCCACCCACCTAGCCATCCGTTCCCCTTTCCTGTGGCCCCTTGTCTGTGTCTGAGAGTGTAAAGATGACTCTGGGGACAGCAGGCTGGGCTCTAGGGCAGGAACATCACATTCGTCCATGCATATGCACACCCCTCTTTCCTTTCCCAGCATCTTTAAGAGGTCAAGCTAGAAAGTCCCCACAGGGCATCTTGTTCAACCTTTTTTTTTTTTTTTAGATTTTATTTTATTCATGAAAGACACAGAGAGAGGCGGGGACACAGGCAGAGGGAGAAGCAGGATCCCTGCGGGGAGCCTGATGTGGGACTCATCCCAGGACCCTGGGATCATTACCCTCAAGGCAGATGCTCAACCACTGAGCCACCTAGATGCCCCTCTTGGTTAACTTTCAACTTTCTCATGCAGAAAAAGAATGTGAGTCCTAGCAACATAAACATCACTTTTCTGAAGTCTCCAAGTGCGTGGGCAGCGAGGCCAGCTGGAGAGCCAGGGCCTTGCCTCTGCTGATCACTTGACATGTGGGCGTCTGAGCTCTGAACACTGTACGCCTGTTGTGTTTCCCTGGCGGACTGTCTGCCCCTCATGTGCAGGGTCCCCACGACCCAGTCCTGCCAGCTGATGGTGACAATGAGAAGCAACATGGTTTTCCAGCTCCTGAGTGACAGAGATGGGACCAGAGCCCTGATCTCTATCTTGTATCAGTTCTGTGTCCCTGTCTTCTGTCACCCTCCCCCAGGCCTGCCCCTGCCACTGGAGACGCTGAGCTCGTTGAGAGTGAGGGCCTGATTCCTCCACCCCCAGGGCCTGGCTCAGAGGAATGCCCTGCTGGTACTTCCACTTCCTTCCTGCATCCAGGGGGTGAGTGCTCCAAGGCCCTCCTGAGCAGGAAGGAAGAGTTGTGTCCAGCATTTCCCGGGTGTGAACTTGGGAGGTTCCTGGCCATTCAGTAGCACAGGATGGCTGCTCCCCCCCACCCCCCAGGACTCTGAGTCTGTCTCTGTACTTCCGGGGGCGGGGGTGGGGGGGTAGAGAGATGGCAGGATGGGACTAGAAAGTCTGACACTTTCCTAACACTTACTGTCCACCGGTTCTCTTTTCTTTTAACAAAGAAAGAGCAGATCTTTGAGTAAATGAATGCCTCCAGCAGTGAAAGAACAACGTTTACGCAATATCTTTGTTTACCTTGTATTTATTTTCATGTTGGATCTTCTATTTATGGCAAGTGATACTGGTTTTCCATTTGCAGAAGTGATACAAAAAAAGGTTCCTTTTAAAATAAATTTATTTAAACAACTATTTTTTTGATTTTTTTTTAATTTTTATTTATTTATGATAGTCACACAGAGAGAGAGAGAGAGGCAGAGACATAGGCAGAGAGAGAAGCAGGCTCCGTGCACCGGGAGCCCGATGTGGGATTCGATCCCGGGTCTCCAGGATCGCGCCCTGGGCCAAAGGCAGGCGCCAAACCGCTGCGCCACCCAGGGATCCCCTAAAATAAATTTATTAAGCAAATAGTTAAGTCATCTTAAAGAAAAATACAGATGGTTAAGTGATATGGCAAAAATCCTAACGTTCATGATTGAAGTTTGGGAAATCAAACCCCAGGAATGGAATGGAAACTACTTCCCCTCTCCCCCCTCCTGGCTCCTCTCCCAGAGGGGAGGTCAGCTCTTACAGATGGCTTTAGGGCCAAGGACATCCCTGGGCTCCATTTCTACAAGGGTGGAGCGTTATAAATAAGCGTGTCCTGGGGCAAATCCATCTCTCTGGACTGATCCAGCAAGGTCCGAGGGAGATGACCAGACGCTGGCGCTCTGCCCTGGGACAACGTTCCTTTCCACATTGGATCGCACTCAGGTCTCCTTGACTGGTGTCCCGCATCCTGGAGGGGTCAAGGTCGGAAGGCTGCCTGCCCCTGGTCTCTGTTGATACGAGGTCCCGGGTCTGGGCAAGGAAGGCAACTCCCCAGTTTGGCTGATGAAGTTCTCTGTTGCAAGTTGAGGGTCAAAGGCACAGTTGAGATGTAGTAAGATGCTCCTTTGCCTGGTCTTGTGTTCCTTGGAGGCACAATCTGTGGCTTTGAGAGGCTGACTTCCTGTCCTCTCCTGCTGCATCCACACTCGGCCTGTTTCTCGGCATCCACGGGAACCCTGCACGCCAACCCCAGCATCTTAGCTGCAGAGCAAAGGAAGGCGGAAACCCCTGTGATGATGCTATTTTCTGCCTCTTTGGTACCTTGAGATCTTAATCTGCAACGTGATTTTGGTGTCTTCTGGCCCAGAGTGGACCCCACCTCCAATTCTCTGCAGCCTGGGGCAGCCAAAGGCACACACCTCTGGGCTTCCTCTGCAGCACCAGCTCTGTCCACAGGAAACTACCCAGCCCCAGATCCAGGGAGTTGAAATCCAGATGTAAAAGGCCGAGGATGGGTGGGGGGCATTCTTCCCTGGGGACCCAGGTATCAACTTGGGCTCCTAGGCTGGAGCTTCAGGGTCTTCTCTGAGGTAGGGCCTTCTGTATGGGTCTTTGGGACGCCAGTCCTCCAGGCCCTGGGGATTCAGAACCCCACACTGGTCCGACCTTCACGCCTCCAGAAAGCTGAGATCTGCTCCAGGGTGACCCGAGGCTGGAGGCCCCACTCAAAATCAGGGCTTCCTAGTCGCTGCCTCTGGGCCTGGGGGCTCCCCAGATGCATGTTGGCCTCTGGCCTCTGTTCAGGCTCAGCCCAGCTTACCAGGCCTGGGGCGTAGGGCCTCTCCTCTGAGGCCTGGGGCCCCCAGAAAGAGTTGCAGGCTGGGGCCCTGTGTGGGGTATGGGGGGCCAAGGAGCCGGGAGGGGTGAGTGGGGCTAAAGGGACAGGTGGGGCTGTGGCTCTGGCCTCCAATGTGCCCCCAGGGGTGGGAGGGTCTGGGGGCCGGTCCATGAGCAAGGGGACTGCAGAGCCATACCAGTCCTCTGAGCGCTCTCGGGCAGTACCCCTGGGCTCGATCCACAGTTCTCCTCCAGGGCGCCAGACCAGGGTGGGTGCCTGGTTGCCAGGGTCCGAGTGCAGAGAGCGACGGAACAGGCGTTCGGCCAACACGGCTGTGGTTAGGAGGAAGAGTGCGGCGAGGGAAGCCAGGGCCAGCATGATGGGGATGCAGGGCCCGCAGGGCAGTGGGGGCCACGGAACCAGTTCGGACACAGGGAGTCCCTCCTGTTGCCCAGAGGGCTGCTCTGGTGTTGAAGGCATCTGGAAAGACAGGGGTCAGATGAGACAGGGTCGCCACAACCTAAGCGGGGGCAGGAGGCAGTGAGTGTCCAAACAAGGGCGAGGAGAAAGACAGAGGCCTGAGGGGAGCAGCATCTGGCCCGGGAAACAGACCTGGGCAGACAGAGGAACCAAGGGGACCCAGAAGGCTGGAGAGCAAGGGTCCCTCCACGGCCTACAGCCAGACACTTCTGCTCAGGCTCCCCAGCTTGCTTGCAGAAGCCCCAGTTCCCTTTCAGATGCTGGGGTGCCCCAGACAAAACTCTGAGGGCCCCAAGGGCTTCTTTCCTCCATCTAGCACCCTCACCCCCGCGGCCCAGGTCTGGCTCTGGCTCAGAGGAAGTGGTGGGTAAGATGAGACTGTCCCCTCCTCCCCTCCCGGCCCCCACCCTGTGTGCACCCACCAGCCACTGGCCAGCACCTGGGATGCTCCTGTGCCCTCACCACTCCCCTGGGCTTGGTCTCGCCTCTACAGGCTCCAGCATGCTCGCTGGCTGTCATGCCAGGGGTCAGGCGCCTCCTCTGAGCTGGCCCCTGCCTGACTGCTCTGCCAGGCCCCCCAGCTTCCCACCTGCAGGGGCCTTCCGCTGCCTCACCTTACCTTGGGGCACCCCCAGGGCTCCTGGCTCTCCCTTTGAGGCACTCCCTGTGACTGAGTGCCCGGGCAATTGCCTCAGATGAGGGCGGAAGGGCACCACCTGTTGCTGGGCAACTGTGCCCCAACTCTTCTGGCCCTGGGGTGGGGAGTGTTTCCTAGGCGACCTGGGGGGATGTGGTCAATGTGGTGGGGAGGCGTTTCCTGGCGAGAGGTGGGGCTCAACGGGCAGTGGTTGTATTGAACTCAGTCTCACCCCAGCCAGGCCTCAGGCCCCAAAACCTTCCACCAGAGACCAAGAGGTGGGTTCACAGAGCACTCGAGGCTCCTTGCTCTCCCTACTCCGGGGCGGTGGCTCTGGCCCTGGCCCACCCACACCCTCCCCTCTCCTGCTCAACCCAGCCTTCCCCATACTTCTTATGAATACACATTTCTCTGTCTTCAGAATATTTGGCCTCAATTTTGGTTGGAAGACATCGGTGAGGTGCGGTGTGGGTAGCAACAGAGTAAGGCCTCTGGGAAGAAGCCCGGTATAGAATCAGGCTCAGGTCTATCTCCAAGGCCCTGGACATTTGCCACCCTGGCTCCTTTCTCCTGGGGTGAGGGTCCGCAGAGCCTGGGAACGCAGCATGAGGGAGTGTTATCGGTCACTTGGGTCCCTTTGGAGATTGTCTAGTTTGACTCGCTTGCCGACAGATGACAAGCAAGCCCCGCGTAAGGGCAGTGTCGTGCCCAAGGTCACACAACCCATGTATGTGGGAGGGATGGGAGAAGCATAAATATAAGTTCCTAGTCTGGCAAGCAACTGAACAGAACACAACTCTTACTTGGGATTAATATTTTCTTTTGCAAGCTTTTTGAGAAAGGCTAAAAAATATGTTGAAATGTTAGCATCTTACAACATGATCACAAGGACAGCCTGACTCACATTGGTCTGTCCTGGTGGTTTTGAGGAAAGGGCCAGAAGGAGCACAAAGTGTGGCATGAGATAGGAGTAGGTAGAAATAGAGTTCGGAGGCTCCTAGCCCTATGACACATGCTTGAATCTGATACAATTATAATTTGATGAGATCATAAGCCTTAAAATAAAACCTGAAATTGGAGCACATGGGTGGCTAAGTCGGTTAAGTGTCTGCCTTCAGCTAAGGTCATGATCTCAGGGTCCTGGGATTGGAGCCCTTCATTGGGCTCTCTGATCAGCAGGGAGTCTGTTTCTCCCTCTCCCTCTGCCCCTCCCCCTGCTTGTGCTTGTTTTTTCTCTCTCTACCAAATAAATGAATAAAAATCTTAAAAAAAAAAAAAAAACAGAACTGAGGGACGCCTGGGTGGCTCAGTGGTTGAGTGTTACCTTCGGCTCAGGATGTGATCCTGGGGTTCTGGGATGGAAAGTCACATTGGACTCCTTGCATGGGGCCTGCTTCTCCCTCTGCCTATGTCTCTGCCTCTCTCTGTGTCTCTCATGAATAAAGAAATTACAAAAAAAAAAAAAACTGAACTTGATACCACTGAACTGGACACTTAAAAAATGGTTGATTGCAGCACATGGTTGACTCTTGGAAGGGCGTGCGACCCTAGATCTTGAGGTCATGAGTTTGACCTCACTTTGGGTATAGACATTACTAAAAAATAAAAAAAATTAAAGAGATTGGGGCACTTGGGTGGTTCAGTCGGTTAGGTGTCTGTCTTCAGCTCAGGTCATGATCCCAGTGTCCAAGGATTGAGTCCCACATCGGGCTCCCTGCCCAGCAGGGAGTCTGTTTCTTCCTTTGCCCTACACCATGCTTGTGTTCTCGCTCTCCCAAGTAAATAAATAAAATCATTAAAAATAAATAAATAAATAATAAATAAAATAAAATTTGAAAAACAGGCTAAGATAATACATTTTGTTACATGTATTTACAACAATAAGTTTTAAAAATCTAAATAAATGAATAAATTTGAAATGTATGTAATGTTTTGTTTTAGTCTTTCCTTAAAAAAATAAAACACTAGGGAATCCCTGGGTGGCTCAGCGGTTTGGCGCCTGCCTTCAGCCCAGGGCGTGATTCTAGAGTCCTGGCATCAAGTCCGGCATCGGGCTCCCTGCAGGGAGCCTGCTTCTCCCTCTGCCTGTGTCTCTGCCTCTCTCTCTCTCTCTCTGCATCTCTATCAATAAATAAATAAAATCTTAAAAAAAAAAAAGAATGCTATGCTAAGTGAATTAGGCCAGTCACGAGAGGACAAATACTGTAGGATTCTACCCATACGAGGTCCCCAGAGCAGTCAGACTCACGGAGACCAAGAAAGTAGAATGGTGGTGGCCAGGGCCTGGGGGGGTAAGGGGATGGGGAGTTGCTTAATAAGTATAGAATTTCACTTTGACCAGATAAAAAAGTTCTCAAGATGGATGGTGAGGACGGTTGCACAACAGTGAATATGTACTTAATGCTGCTGACCTGTACACTTAAAAATCATTAAAATGGTAAAATTTATTGTATGTATTTCACTACAAGAAAAACTTTAAAAAATAATAAACAATAATATAGAAAATTGAAACAGGGAAATTATTGCTTGTAATTTCCTCACTCCCAAATAAGTCTGCATTCTTTTTTTTTTTTTAAGATTTTATTTTTACAGTAAATCTCTACACCCAACATGGGCTGAAACTGACAACCCCAAGATCAGGAGTTACATGCCCACTGACTGAGCCAGCCAGGCACCCTAGCTTGCATTTTTGTTTTACATTTTGTTTTGCATTTTGCAGAATCTTCTGCAGCATAGGGATCAGAACCCAGATATCCTGACACTCGGGTTCCTCCCACTCCACTGCTCAAGAATTTCTGAAAACAGGAATCAGGAAGTTACTCAAGGAGTGTATGCAATAGAGGAGTCTCTGGGTCAGAAGTCTATGAAACAACCCTGGGGGAGGTGTCTTCTGGGCTGATGGGGTGCTCCTGGGGCTAGGTGCTCTGGGAGGAGCCTGATTCTACTTGGAACCAGTGAGAGAATCATAGACTAGCCGGCTGGCTTGTGGGCAGCCATGGGCAGCGTTCTGTCCTCAGTGCTCTTACCGCCTAGGTGTGTGTGGTGGTTTTAAAACATGTCTGCAAGTTCCTTGACATTCCTTCTCTTGTGAGGTTATGTCTAGTCCCCCATCTCTTGAACGTAGGCTGGCCTTAGTGGCTGACTTCTAATGACTGGACTAGAGTAGAAGTGATAGCATGGCCCCAAAGCCTAGGTTTAAAAAAAAGGGAGAGGGGGCACCTAGGTGGCTCAGTCGATTGAGTGATCGAGCATCAGACTCTTGGTTTTGGCTCAGGTTGTGATCTGGTGGGTTGGGGGATTGAGCCCAGCTTCCGGCTCCACACTTAGTGGGGAGTCCACCTGAAAGTCTCTCCCTCTGCCCTTCCCCAAACTCTAAAATAAATAAGTCTTAAAAAAAAAAAAAAAAAAAGAAGGGACAGGGGTCCCTGACTGGCTCAGTCTACAGAGCATGTGACCCTTGACCTTGGGGTTGTGGGTTCGAGTCCCATGCTGGGTATAGAGATTGCTTTTTAAAAATATTAAAACATAAAAAGAAAAACATTTTGGGATCCCTGGGTGGTGCAGCGGTTTGGCGCCTGCCTTTGGCCCAGGGCGCGATCCTGGAGACCCGGGATCGAATCCCACATCGGGCTCCCGGTGCATGGAGCCTGCTTCTCCCTCTGCCTGTGTCTCTGCCTCTCTCTCTCTGTGTGTGACTATCATAAATTAAAAAAAATAAAATAAAATAAAATAAAAAGAAAAACATTTAAAGAAGGGACAGAGCTCCCACCTGGCTTGGGGTATATATCTATCTATCATCTATCCATCTATCATCTATCTATGTCTTTTTTTTTAAGATTTTATTTATTTATTCATGAGAGAGAGAGAGAGAGAGAGAGGCAGAGACACAGGCAGAGGGAGAAGCAGGCTCCATGCAGGGAACCTGATGTGGGACTCGATCCCAGGACTCCAGGATCATGCCCTGGGCCAAAGGCAGGTGCTAAACCACTGAGCCACCCAGGGATCCCTATCTATCTATCTATCTATCTATCTATCTATCTATCTATCTATCTAATCTATCATCTATCATCTCAGTGCTCCCTCTTGGAACCCAGTCACCATGTGTGAGGAAGTCCAAGATACATGTAGGTGATCTGGTCAAAGTCCCAGGGGCAGTCCCAAATGACAGCCAGCATCAGCTACCCACCTGTAACTGAGCTATTCTTCCATGATTCTCACCCAGCCTTTCAGCCACCCCAAGCGCAGCAGAGATGAGCTATCCCCACTGAGCCTTGTTTAAAATAGATATATAAATATATATATATATATATATATATATATATATATATATATATATATATATATCACTGCCTTAGGTCACTACATTCAGGGAGGTTTGTAACACCAAAGTGTATACTGGAACACCCTATGGCATTGCTCTCCCAGGATGAGTAAGGACTGTGCCTCAGAATCATCGGTGGGGCCTTCTCCAGTGCTCACTCTTTGTCTCTAGGTCCCTCCCCTCATCCTATTCCACTGTTTTAGGGCCTAAATTGGGGAGGGTGAGGAGAAAAACAGTAGCAACAGCAGCACTGAGGTTGGTTAAGAAACGCCACAAGCCATTTAGATCTGCCCTCCCCCTCCGTGGCTGAGATACACTAAACCTGTCTGTCTAATACAGTAGTCGTTAGCCACATGCAGTTCTTCAAATTAATTCAAATAAAATAAAATCAGTCCTTCAGTCTCAATAATTACATTTTAGGTGTTCAACAGACACACGTAGCTAGTCATGGCTGCTGCACAGGGGAGTGTAGCTACAGAACATCTGGCCACCACAGAGACTTCTACTGGACGGTGCTGTCCCAGAACCTCACTGCCCAGGGCGGGTGGAGGACCAGCCAGGACAGCATCACCTGGGAGTGTAGATCTCAGGCTCTGCCCAGCCTCTGTGAATCAGAAGCTGCATCTTAGCAGGTTACCCAGGTGACCTAGAGGGACATGGCACTAGGCACAAGTTCACAACCCTGGCTGTACATCAGAAGCACCTGGGGGACACCTGGGTGGCCCTGCCTTCGGCCCAGGGCGTGATTCTGGAGTCCTGGCATCAAGTCCTGCATCAGGCTCCCTGAAGGGAGCCTGCTTCTCCCTCTGCCTGAGTCTGCCTCTCTCTCTCTTTCTTTGTCTCTCATGAATAAATAAATAAAATCT